ACTGTAGGGAGTTTTGGGTCCTCAACTTCAACTTCGTACTTTATTTGGCCTTTTCAAGCGTTTTTTATTCGAGCGTCACTGATGAGTCTTTTGTAGACGAAACGCGCGTTTGGCGTACACAATTTTTATCCTGGTATCTATGATGAGTTCATTTTCAAATTGAATAAAATTTCGTTTTATTTTTCAGTCTTTTTGATCTAAAAAAATGATCCGTAATCAAGACCCTAGACCATTCTGTTGTGTTAAAAGTGACAGAACCTGTCTATACATTTTATTATTCCGAGTATGTCTGCCATTATAAGAAGAAGAAAACATTTACCCGTAACATTTTGCAGTCAAAAAGACAACGTTTTGATGTCACACATCACAACTGATCGTTTATTTGACGATCAAAGAGAGTATGAAGATACTCATATTCCCATAAGTCAAAGGCAAACAACGTCATGGCAACAAAAAAAAGATGATCGACGAAAAGACAAACATGAAAAAAAAAGAAAACCAAAGACTAAGTAACACGAACCCAACAAAAAATGTGGCACCCATGTTAATGTGAGTAAAATTTCTGTGATAAATTACATTCCGTGATTTCGAGTTCGAAGAACAGAGGACAGAATTGTGGTTCAACAATTGGAAATATCTGTTGTCATTTGTGAAATAGATATTATATAACGGTCAACCAACTCGTGGTGGCGTTCGTAAAACTTTCGAATGGATGACTTCCAACTTTACCATTTTGAACCCTTAGGTTAATTGCTTTCTTGTTAGAAGCACACCTCTATCAAGGACATTTTGATAGGAAACGCAAGCTCTGGAATATAGTATCAAATGGGATATATATACCCCATATGCAGGCGCTGCTGAAATGTTGCTTCATATAGAAACAGCAAGTTCACAATTGGGAAGCAGCTGAAATATGTGAACAGGTAAAAATGAATATTCCGTCCGCAAATTATCCTGAGTTTTTTTTCAATTCTGGTACATTACATAAAGATAATAATCCTTTAATTTTCCTTTGTTTTGAATTAACACCATTATAGTTTGGTATAAATTATGAACGCATTTTTGTAAATTCTACATTAATACAAACAAAACGAAATTGAACTTCGTTGCCAATTCAATTTTCGTAGCACTGTAATTATCTTCTTTTTGTGTACTTATCCACTGACCAGTTCCTATTGGAATTTTAATATTTGAACACCTAAATTTGAATATTTGAATTCTTTGTCCCTTTTGAAGTGTTACTTAGTATTTTTTTCAAGCAAAATTCCGTTTTGAATACAATATTGAATTTTCACTATTGGAGAATTTTTCATACCTCATACCCGTTTATAATGGAACTGGTCTAAAATTAGCTGTTTAATTAGTTTTTATATCAAGTTTACTCAATGGCTTTTTTAGTATCCAAATATAGCTGTATCCACAGTCAGACAATAAGTATTGGTTGCACATACTCAGTCAATTTCAAAATACATTCTCCGCAAAGTATCATATGACTTTAAGGCACATATTGTATAACGGAAATAATTTGTCCTCTGTGTGTCTGCCTATTGGTGAATTTTTTCTTCTCAACATTTGAAAATCATCAAGATATTCATCAAATACATTATCACTATTTTCAGATAATAAATGAAATAATACATAATCCAGAATTGTAAAGTCATTTCGTTTTTAATTTCATCAAAGGAATGATTTGATGAGTACATGTTATTTTGTGTTGGGATACAAGTAAATCCCAAAACAAGGTCTGTGTTTGAACGATTGAAATCGAGACTGCATAAGGTTTACGGTTACCATAACGAATTGGTTGACCGATACGCGATGTGTCGGTATCTCAACTAACTCGCGAAATGTTTTCGCGGTCTTAGATTATATACCAGTATAGTCGTCAGATCTGTAATTTCACCGATTGTGACATATTGACTGAGTGGTGATTCGCATGGCTGGTGATGCATACATAGCAGGAGACGATTACTCTCTTGACCCACCCGGTTTCTTTCCATTTGGAGTTTAAACGATTCCCTCCGTTTTGTTTGTTACAATGATTTGTCTCTTCTGAAGGGATTAAGAGTTTTTAACATTTATAAACTACAGTACTGTTGCCTTAATTTTTGATATCACATTTGACATTTTAATCTATTGTACAATGAAAATTACACTTATTAAATGTTATGCGTCCGAAGCGCTTTTCTGTATTAACCTTTATCAGGAACGCTGAAATCTGATGATGGGTGTAATATGCCACCACCAGTGGTATCGATCCAGTGCTACATTTGTAGATATTGTGTTATCTTCTACTTTGTATTTTTTTGGGTGAACTTATCATGCTTTGTATCCTGACGAGTGGTAATGCTGTCGAACGGAAGAGGTTAATACAAGTAAATGATATTTAAACTGAAAAGTTAAAATATATTTATGTATGCTATATACCTGTTATGTTGCCACGTGTGAAATGTTTTATTTTTGGCACAAATGAAATGTGGTTTGCGACGATTTTTTTTTTGTTGTTGGCGAAAATGAAACACCCATCCGATTTTACTGTGTCTAAAAACGTACAAACCTAAGCAACACCGCACTATTAGTCGCAGTTTTACAAAACCGCATAAAAAATAATAAACAAACAAAAAAATAAAAAAAAAAAAGAAAGAGAAAGAGATAAAACCCCCCCCCCCCAAAAAAAAAAACCCAAACAAACAAACAAACAAACCGACCAAATGAATCACAAACAAAAGAAAAAATGTCTTTTAAAATAAATTTATGTCATACTATTTTTCATAATTCAATATGTAATGCGTATTTCCTGTCATAATGATTTGTAAGTACAGAGTAAAACTGTTTAAACTCCATAAAACTTATTAAATGCATGTTGGTAAATTAATGCTGTTTACCCTTACTTATAACAGTTGTTATGGAATCTATTCAAATGCAATAAATCCTAATATGATCATCAAAATACTTTGTACAACAATAATTCCGCGTGAAATTGTGTAATAACTGTTGATGAAACAAAAATCATTAAATGATTTTAAGTAATACCGTCCATGTGGAACATATTTTTTCAGCAGAAAGTCTTTATTACAATTTCATTTTTCTTTGCTTTTGAAGAAATGAGGAAACAGTCAAACAGTAGAAGGACTTCTTGTCCAAATATTCTTCATTTATATATTTTCAGTAAATTCTGTCTTCTAAAAAAACGTAGGGTCAAATTAAAAATTGTAATTTGAGATACTTGTTTAAAATATCCTAAAATTTGCAAGTTGATTTTCACAATTATGAGTGAAATCTACATAAGTTAATACCTCAGAATTTATAAAAAAAATCTAAAAAAGTTTCTTATTTACATAGCAATAATCATTCTTTAATGAATTCCCTTTTGAACTAGAACTTTAGTGATTTTTGTTTCAAGTGAAATATTTGGCCCAGACTAGTCAATGCAGAACGACCCATGTCATTTATATTTTTCCTACGTCATTGAATCTGAATTGCAGTTAATATACTGCTGATAATAAATGATGATTTCTTTTCTATTTCAATTTTGATTTAGGTATGAGTAAATGGGGGTGCCGGAATAGGTCATTGAGCCAGCAATCGAACAACACAATAATAACACAAAAAAAAAAAAGAACTGACAATACCGTACATTCTTTAGTTGTACCTTTCTTGGAAGTTTCTGTTAGGTTATTATTAATTGTAACATATACTGACAATACCGTACATTCTTTAGTTGTACCTTTCTTGGAAGTTTCTGTTAGGTTATTATTAATTGTAACATATACTGACAATACCGTACATTCTGAAGTTGTACTTTCTTGGATGTTTCTGTTAGGTTATTATTAATTGAAACATATACTGACAATACCGTACATTCTTTAGTTGTACCTTTCTTGGAATTTCTGTTAGGTTATTATTAATTGTAACATATACTGACAATACCGTACATTCTGAAGTTGTACCTTTCTTGGATGTTTCTGATAGGTTATATTATTAATTGTAACATATACTGACAATACCGTACATTCTGAAGTTGTACCTTTCTTGGAAGTTTCTGTTAGGTTATTATTAATTGTAACATATACTGACAATACCGTACATTCTGAAGTTGTACCTTTCTTGGATGTTTCTGTTAGGTTATTATTAATTGTAACATATACTGACAATACCTTACATTCTGAAGTTGTACCTTTCTTGGATGTTCTGTTAGGTTATTATTAATTGTAACATATACTGACAACACCGTACATTCTGAAGTTGTACCTTTCTTGGAAGTTTCTGTTAGGTTATTATTAATTGTAACATATACTGACAATACCGTACATTCTGAAGTTGTACCTTTCTTGGATGTTTCTGTTAGGTTATTATTAATTGTAACATATCTAGTAAACAGTCATTAGTTTAAGTGTTAAAACACTTCAGTGTAGAGAGTAAAGCAAACGACTTCACAATGATTGTAGATGGGTCTTTTCTAGTGTATATGATAACATTATTTCTGATATTGAAAAACCACTATAGTTAATGTTAACATTGGCAAAGGTTTTGAAGTATCCGTCAAGTGATCTACTCTAATGTAATAACGACTTTATTTATTTATCAGCAATAATATATTTAAAGCTAGTCCCACATTTGTAGTGGACAGCATCTCAGTTATTCAATTATAACCTATTTGAATAGAAAATTTATGTATAGAGAGAAAACAAGCTTAAGAAGAGCTCTCTAATAATTATTTAATACAAGAGTAAAATTGAAAGTTTACTGATTATTCTGCATGATACGATCTATGCAGACAGAAATGACTTCTTATTAGGGCTTTAAAACACCATCGATTTTCTCCTAACCACGCCTTTAAATAAACAAATTAAACTCAGGTAGGCGTTACATATTCTGGATGAAATCTCCAATAAAATTTGTATTTTCCGGGTGGTTTTATTGTCCTACCAGAATCCTAACCAACATGGACACGCCCTCAATTTTCCTCATGACAAGGCATTAATGGTAATAGCACGGTTAAAGTGACAGTTTTTGCTATGCTGCTCGCATGGCTTCTTAATTCGAGGAGAAACTAACCTAAGAGGCAATCCACGTTGGTGAAGTGCCCAGTTTGCTTTTGAAGTGCTCCCGATTTTACTATCTAAGCATAAAATCAATTTTTACACTTAAATGGAGGTCCCACTGGAAGTTATGAATGGAGAGAAACATAGCAGTAGCTTTTCAGTGAAGGATATTTTGGATTTGCCTAAAGGAAAAATTAGTTGTAGTCCTGTAGATTCTCAAACCCCAACAGTAAACAGTAATGTTTTATCATCTATTCCATCCGTACCTGATGTAAGTGATTTGCCGGGAGTTACGAACTACTATGATAACGACAATCCTTACAGCAGATGGTTACAGACTAACGAAAATATACCATACTCAAGTAAGTACTAAAAATATACTATACTAACATACAAACGTCAACATTGATGTGAGCTTTTATATTGTTGTATATGTAACGGGATAATAACATTTAAATAAATCAGGTTTTTTTCTAATAAACTATTATATTAGAATTAGCATGACTATTTAAGCAAATGATCATCATTGTTTTGCAATATCATGAGACAAATTTGTGTCTGTAAACACGTCTCAAAATTGTCGAAAGGCATCTCAAGATACACTGATGCCAAAGTTTTGTTAGATATCAACGAGATTTATACTTTGTAGATTACGTTAGAAATAAGATAAAAGTAGACCATGAATTGTTTAGTCATTGTAATAATGCAGTACATTGTCTCTGTTTCATTGCTTTATCGACATAATTATGAAGCAGCATTGATATCTAAGTATTAAACTATGTTTGAATTTGCACAGTTTTATCCGTTTAAGTTTTACAACTCGGTCATTATCAAAATCAAACATTATAAAGTCTTCCAATAGATTATTCTGTAACGTGTACTGATAAACAATTTAACTTTTTAAATAATCAGATTTTTATCATTTACATCGAACATTTAATTTGCAAAATAATATTAATAAAATGAACAATGAAATTTTGTTACATATTCATTATTTACATTCTTTCTGCTATAGTGCAATGGGTTTTTCTCTATATTCACAAATGTTCAATCCAAACACGATGAGGTAAACACTAAATTCATTTACTCTGTTTTCGGTGAGGGAAAAGATTTATTCTTTCAACAAGAATGTCAAGGAAATAGCACGAAATTTATAACGTTGTTTTCATTTTTTAAAACCACTTATACATATGAAACATTTAACCAAAACTGAAATATATATTTTCTTTTACTGAAAAAAATCCCGTGAAAACAAATAAATTATATTTAAATGATATAATAAATATACGAAAAGTTGACCGTCATTTTACGATCGCCTCTAAATAGAAAGCAGTAGGAGTGTTACTTTTTCGCCCAGCATTTTTTTTTGTCAAACACTACAACCGAAACTTCATTTCGTATAATTGTGATAAATATCTAATTTTGAACTTTTTGAAATTTATCTACAAGCTGAATGGGGTTAAAAAGAATAAATCTCGAACATAACTGTAAGTAAAAGAAAATGTTTACTTGATTGATAGATATTTGCATTGAATATCTTAAGTTTCACACTGGAAATTATAGTTGTTGGAACGCTCGTCATTTGAAGTAATGACTAATAATGGATATGTGTTATCTTTATGAAATGTTTATTTATCAGTACATAGAAATTTTGAATATTAGATTCTGAAATAAACCTTATATCTAACGTGATAATTATAATATATATAATATAGCTTATGTTCCGTGTACATAACTGAACTTAGTAAATATTGAGTTTTAAAAAAACTACTGAACCCATAAAGTTTGTTTAAATCAAGACTATACATATTTTTTTTTAAAAGATTCAGAAAAAATCATGGATGACAAAACATGATTTGAGTTAAGGAGTGAAAATTTGCAAACTCTTCCATATTTGGTAAATTTTATAATTCTATAAATAAACTTGATGATAAAAAATAAAAATGCGAATATGCGTTCAGAGTGAATTAAATATTTTAATATAAATTAGGCCACCAATTAACTCACTGCACCTATTGTCATGATGAACACTGAATCCTATTAAAAGTATTTAGATTACTAAAAGTATTTTGTGATTTTATCTTTATATGTATATATTGTAATTCAGATTATATACATGAATTATTCTAGCGTTTGTATTTATGTCTATGGTTGATCGTCTAGTTAAATATGAAACAATAATTCCACGAATAATGCAACTGACGAGTCGGCCGTTTCACATTAAATAGGATTGACGACTTTCACAGATTTAAAAAAATATATATATTAAGTCAGACAGTTTCTATCTTACATTATTACCTGTATTTGAATAAATTGATTTCCGCTGATCTGAAAATTATAACTTGTAATTTTTACATTTTAAAATATACATCAATTACAGCATATAACTTGTGGTTGTTCTTGTAAATTTCGCCCTATTGTAATGATAGTTGCTAACGCTTATTCCCTTTACTCTTCAAACGCAAATCATTATATGGCCTTTACTTGTATTATTTGAACTGAATATTTGGAGGTAAATTGGTACAAATAGCAAACAGTTGTCTATATTGATCAATGTTAAATGCAAAATCTAACACCATTAAGCTTTTAAAGATTGTTGAAAATCAATTTCATATTTGATAAAATTCATCAAATTAATACGTTTGTGTGTGGCCCTATTATCACGAATTATTATACAATAAGCATACAGTATTTTCAGATTGTGCTATCACTTTCATTTAATCACTGCATCCATATATGTTTTTGTTGTATTGAGTGCGAGTTTAAAATTTATATATGATAAAGTTTTCCTTAATTTTTAAGAAAAATGGCACTTATAGCATTTAAATGAAATTGCATAAATGCAAAAATTTATTATCAATCTAACGAATATTGCACATTGATATATATTTATAAAAATGTATATAATAAAGTTAGAAAATCGCTTAAAGTTTCAACAGTACAAGAAAACTAGGATATTTATAAAATTAAATAATTCAATTCAAAGTTTTTATTTAAAAATTACATAACAATTGATGTTTAGAATCGCTCCTGGGAATTTTTTGTATAGGATGTTTTCCCCAGGTGTTGACGGGGCGTTTGAACAAATTTAAAAGATGTTTTCATCAAGCTTGCCAATAAAATTTCATCATAGCTGTTCCTAAATAATCCGTATCAATACCCATTATATTTGGGTGATGAATTCCGACCAGGGTTGTTACTGTGTGTAAACGCTTTTAATTAGATTGTAGTGGGAATTTTCTGATTGAAGGCGTTTATTAAGTGATTTCTCTTTTCAGATGTATCACACCTGAACTCTCCAGGCGATTCAAGTCATTCTAGTGATATTTCCGCAACAGAAAGTCATCCTGGTGTTAATAAAAAACACACAACGGTGAAATCAGAAGGAAATAGTGACAACAATTGTGAAAAAAGTAGTGAAAATAACTCCAATAATAGCGAATCACAAAAGAAACGAAAGCGAAGAGTTCTATTTTCTAAAGCCCAAACTTACGAACTTGAACGTCGTTTTAGACAACAAAGATATCTTTCAGCACCAGAGAGAGAACATTTAGCCAGTATTATTAGACTAACGCCGGTGCAAGTTAAAATATGGTTTCAGAATCATCGTTACAAATTAAAGCGCTCTAGGCAAGAAAAAGGACTTGATCTTAACCCTTTGCCGTCGCCTCGACGCGTGGCAGTACCAGTTCTTGTGCGCGATGGAAAACCATGTCAACCAAGTATGAATAACTCTATGGTTAAGTCTCCCGATCAACTAGCGCTACAGCAAAATATCGGTTCATCTTTAAATCATCAACAGTTACAAAATATGAACATGAATTCTATGGTATCACTTCCTGGTATGAACAACTCTATGTCTGGTATTAACCCCTCGTCTATATCATCCAGTATGAACAATATGAACATGAGCTGTTCTTATAATTCTGCAGTAGGATCAATGAACTCCATGAACCTTAACATGAACATGAACCATAATATGAATGTTTTACCAAGCTATACACACCCTCTTATGCAACCTCAGACACGATGGTGGTAGTATTCATTGCCTTTGTCGTCCGATTCCATCCAATTATACATGTATTCATCGGTTTGACGAGTCTCGTTTTTAAATCTTTATTTTATAACTAAATCCAAAGTGCTTCAAGTGATCTGTCTGTGCTGTTAAATAAGATCTTTGTTTCCTTTCTTACAACTCGTCTATGCCGAGACTGTGCTTTATTCCTCTGTGATTTGCAATATTTCATTGGTTCGTTAGAAAGTGCTATACACAAATTATTTAGTTGTATTATTTCTGAATTATTGCATGCATTTTCTTTTAACCAGAAATTCGAAATTTTGAATATTGAAGAAACTGAAGCGACTTTTTAAACATGTATTACGCATCTATTTTTTAAAAAAAAGTACATGTTTTGAGTTGAGATATCTTTATTTGAATACTTTTATATATATACATTTTACAAATGCAATCTACTAATTTTTATTGTTGAATATCACAAACCAATAAATCATTTGAACCAATTTATATCTAATGTTATGCCGATGATATTTTAAAATATATGTAAATACTATCTATTATCTATGTATTCTATTCCGATAGATGATTCCATGTTGTCACTTAAAATTATCTAATATAAATAAGAAACCAAGAGACATGCTGCATTCGAATGTGTCTAGACAAAGTTTTTTTATATATGAAAAAAGAAAAACAACGAAAAAGGAAAATTAAAAATGTCGATCAAATCTACATAGTTTCCATTATAGATAGCCTGCGTAATTTTTCACATGATGAGAATAGCTGAGAAAATTTAAAGGCAAAGACAATTAATATATTTTCCGATTTCTGTGCAAGACATATCAGTTTAATTCAGCTAAAACAAACATAGTAATATAATATATATAATATAATATATACAAGTATAAATTGAAAACAACGTTCAAACCTATGATTGTGTTGGATAAAACCCGCATTTTTTATACCTGTGCATGCAAAACAAATTTCTTGGTAGAGGGGTCTAAATACAGCACAAACAACACCAAAAGACCAAAAAAGTGAAAAAGTATATTTTAACAAAACGCTAATATAATATATATATATTGGTCGAACGGTCTAGGGCACCGTGCAGGCGGTGTTGTCACGATGTCACAAAAAATTTGCTAACGCAAATTTCCAGATCTAAAAATATTGGGCTAAATTTGAGACATATGTGTGTGTGTGTGTGTGTGAACCACAGATATGCGCTTAAAGTAGTGTATACCATTGAATGCATAATGAAACCATAGTTGGCGCCTGTTAAAACGTTTAAACCCGCTGCATTTTTATGCACCTTTCCTAAGTCAGGAGCCTGTTGTTCAGTGGTTGTCGTTTGTTGGTGTGGTTCATAAGTGTTTCTCGTTTTTTATATAGATTATACCGTTGGTTTTCCTGTTAGAATTGTTTTACACTAGTCTTTTTGGGGCCCTTTATAGCTTGATAATCGATGTGAGCCAAGGCTCCGTGTTGAAGGCCGTACTTTGACCTATAATTGTTTACTTTTTACACATTGTGACTTGGATGGATAGTTGTCTCATTGGCACTCATACCACATCTTCTTATTTATATAGGTTTGAAAGTTGATGTTTTGGGGCTTGCTTTAGAAACAAATCAAAGTGTATTGTTCAATTTTCGCACGGATTATGGTTCATCTTCTTAATGGTAAGCTTCCCTGTTCTATATTTAACCGGCAGTATAAAGTTGATCATTCTGTAGTATATACATATATGATTTGCTTCATTTTTCTCATATCTATTAAAGAATAGGTATGAAATTCACTATTTTGCGCATCCTGCAGTCAAACATATATGATTTGCTTCATTTTTCTAATATTTCACCTATTCGATTGACCTTACGAATTCATAGTTTTAATTATTAATTGTTTGCATGTAAATTGTTTCTATATATCGTATTAACTATTATGTTGATCAACGTTCTTTTGTAATAACAGACAGATGTACATATATATATATATATATATATATATATATATATATATATAAACTAAGTCAATTTACTGACAAACAATAATTATCATTTTTTTTCTAATTTGAGTATCTTGTATAGTTTATTTTGTATGACTACGACTTTCGAGAACTTACACTCAAAAAGATAATGATACTCAGTACCAATATTATTATGAATAAATGGCACATTCTTTCTTCTTTTGGCATGTTTCTCCATTTTTTCGTTTCTATCAGTATTTTCAAATAAAAACTTCTGTTTAGTTAAAGATTCTCTTGGAAACGAATTAAGAATATAATTTTCCAAGTTTAATTCCATTTCAAACATACCATATATATCTCCTCTTGATGAATACAATTTTGGATGAACTGATCTACGAGCTAGGGTTTTTTTGTTTTTGTTTCACAGTCACTTTAATTAAACTGAATCCATACATAGACTAGTTCAGTTTTATCAATAAAAACTTTAAATGATTGACCCACTTGAAACTTATATTTATTGTTTGACTAAGCTTATACATTACTAAGTATACTACTTAATTCGTTGTGGTTAATGAGAACCTTGTTCCAAAAACAAGCCATTTTCAAATTAACAGCAACTTTAAATGGAGTTTTGTTACGTTCACCATAAGATATAACATTAGGTGTTGTTCTCATCTAAAATAATTTTTTGCAGAATTGTAAGTGAATTTGTTTCTGACATCTGTACGTGTACGAATCACTATACCTTACATATATATAAGTTAGGATGAGAAGTAAAAGGGTATAAAATAATAATCTCATTTACAAGTCAATTGGTATTGATATATTACGTATCTTTCGATAAAAACTGACTTGTTGTGCTTCATCGACTCCTTTTTCTTGACTTTAACAATCATAAGTCCTCCTAAATAGCAGTAAGAATTTTCTATTTTTTTTTTAAATTCAAATTTTGTTAACTTCCAATCTAAAATTGTAAAACCTCTGATGTTTCTGCGAGGATTATGGTGGTAGGGTCGGTTCAGCAAAAGAGAACAGTGGCTGGAAAGTATAATGCGTGTAAAAATACTAATTCAATAACAGATCACTATTTTACGCCTCTTGATCAAAAATCATTTTGACAATTTTGTAACGTCCGTAATTATTTGACAGATATTCTATCGAGCTCGATTTCAAGTCGAACATATGTCACCAATTAGGATCAATGAATTCTTGTTCGAACTTACCTCAAGTACGAGAAGTCCAAACACAGAGAATGGAAATGCTGATCTTGACTCAGATCATTGATTTACAATATTGTCTATTTAACATGGTTTAGACCCGTTACTGGTAAATGGTAGCCTAATAACAGAAGAACCAACCATTATTTCATTCTAAACTATAAATGCACACAAACATTTGTTCCATAATCATGAGATTTAACAGGAATATTGTGAAGGTAACCTAAAGAATCTGATTGATATCGTGGGTACAAATATCCAAAATAAAGAATACTGGTACATATTTTGATAGATTTCAGGCTTTGGACTACATATACACATTTATATTGAACCACTTTTTAAGATTTCAATGTCGTCCAACGACCAAGATAGTTGTTTTGTTGGTCAAAACAAATAAAGGCGGAGGGTTAGAGCAGTAGAAACAACCTTCCGGTATTATGTTTTACATTTACTGAAAGCGAACAGAGTACTAAGAGTGTTCGAGTCTGATACCGCTTCCAAACACCATAATTACAAGTTGAATCTTTCTAAAAAGGTACAGAGTGCTTCGCAGTATCATAAATAGACGTATTTACACTTGTATGCAAATTTGTCCGCCATTACGTAAAATCACACAGGTTCCCGTAAACTTTGACATCATAATTCAAAACATTTGACGTCACAATTAAAAAGTGATTGTTGCCTGACGTCAAAAGGTGATTCGGAGTAGATCTAAGGTCATTCGGAGGCAAAATATAGCTAAATACCAAAAGTGTAAATACGTTTATTATGCCATCATAATGCAGTAAGTGTTGGTCGGGTCTTGAATACACATACAGTAATTTTATTCCTTATAATTCGTATCTAATATCTTCTCCTGTCCGGGACATGTTTCCAATTCTATATCTCATTCTAACCAAAATAATCTTTCCTACATCAAAAGGCAACCAATGGGAACCGATATTAGTTACTTAGTACATAATAATTTCGGGGGCCTCGGTGGCCGAGTGGTCTAAGTAGTTACTATACCCCGCTCGTGCGGGTGCACTCGACTCCAATCTTAATTGACTAGGATTGTCAGTTTTCCTATCGAAGGTCGGTGGTTTTCTCCGGGCGCTCCGGCTTCCTCCACCAATAAAAACTGGCCGCCACGAAATAGCCCAAAAGTGGTGTTTAAAAGTGGCGTTAAAACACCAAAAATCAAAAATCAAATCATAATAATTTCAAGATGGCGTGAATATCGCGTGAAACTAATAGCTTCGACCGTGACCGTGATTCGGAACAAAAATAGATGACCGCGCCCTAAATATGTGAGCATAAGCTTGAACCTCCAAAGCGTGCTATCGATATAAAACTACTAGTATGCTACGTAGTTATAGATGAAACCATGATCTTCATTTATTCGCGTAAGTTTTATTTATAAATGAATGACCTATAGCATACTGATACTTGGATAATAATATGCACTTTTTGCATGTTAAATCAAGTTTGAAGTATTTTTTTCATTCTTTAAATATGGGGAAAATTTGTGAATTTTAGATAAATCAAATTAAACTAAGGTTTATAAAAACAGTCTTATTCCATCTACCAATTAATTTGGATAAAGGGCATACTGCAATTCTTATTATACTTGTAATCTACGATATTGTGAAAGAACCCGGTTTCTTGCGTGTTCAATTTGTTGAAGAGAAGTCGAGTTCCTTTTTTTCTCGTTTTATAATTTATTTATCTATTTATTTATTTTGAATGAGCTCTTCTAAAGTTATGTCACTTGAAGAAATTATCTGACACTTTAAACGTATGTTGTGGTATTATATAGTATGCGTTGAATTGTAAAAAAAGATTAATATGCCTGTAGTCTTTCAACAGAAATATTCCATTGTTGGTAGAACAACCTCACCAAAAGTTTAAAACGTGTACTTGTAAATAATAAACCCTTTAGAATGAATGTAAAATGTTTGTAACTTAAAATGCTCATTTACCTTAGAAAAAGCCGACAACAAAAGTGATTCTCTTTCACAAAATTAAGATTTCCGGTGATCTTTTACATCAACCAAAATAATTTGTTAAAACACTGCAATCTGCACCGATTTATAGATAGTGTCTTAGGACTAGGGCATTGTCTTAGGATTGCCCGCTTATATTATATCTTAGTCCTAAGTGTGGTTATTGAAAAGGTCCCGGTATTTACAACTTATATCCTTATATTTTTCCAAAACTTTGAATAACAGAATAAGTGTCTTAAATGAGACCACTAACAATAAAAAAAAAACCATGAATTAATACCAAATACAAATAAAGAATAGTGAAAAGTCATGAAAAATATTATTATGACTATACTTTTAG